CTCCACTGAGGACTGGCACATGCTCACTTTCGTGGTGTACATTGTGCTAAATTAGATATGCTATTCGTTCCCTCATTGTGAAAAGGGATAGAAAAATCTGAAATATCCTATCCATGCAAAATCCCCACTTTTCAACCCTTCTTTCCATTTCAAAACAGCACAACAACAAAGGTGTCATCAGCTATATTAAGGAACAGATTGAAAGTAATTATAATATTTACTTTCTGTAACAACTCAAAACCCATTTGTAAACAAACAGTCACTTCTAAACACAGAGAACTGAAAAGTTTCATCTGGACTAATGAAAGACTTGTGGGGTTTTTTTCCTCCAAAAATCAGCAGGAAAATATAGTATTTTCTGAGGATGTTTTTTGTGCCGTTTTAGTATATAACAGTGTTGTTGAATGTCTAAGGAATACTAAACTGGCCAGACCAGAGTATAATCCTCCCTGTACATTTCAAAGGATTAAAGATTAAAAAATTGCAGATATTGTTATTTTGACCAGGAAAACAGTATTAAAAGAGTTAGAACCTGGGGTCCATTGATGATTTGTCCAAGTAATATCTAGATGCTTGTTTGGCTATGGCTGAGACAATATAGGAAATAAAAAACCAAAACCTAAAACAAGACCACCACCAAAAAAATACAAAAACCCAAAAAACCCCACAAAGAAAACCACAAACCCACCAAAAGAAAAAACCCCAAGTAAACAACAAAAAAACCCCAACAACAATAAAACAAACAAACACAGAAACAAACAGAAAAAAAAGTCAAGAAAAACCCAACAAACTTGATTGCTGTCAGTTACAGAATTTTATGTAGGGTTGATGTTTCCCTTTGCTCTTGGCAAGATCCTGAAAGACACTAATGACAGTTCATCCTCCCTGCCCAGTCGCTGAGTCAGAGATTAATGGGGAAGCAGCAAGACCTCTCTGACCCAATGCAGTGACTGTTTGAAGCAAGACCTTACTGTGGATGCAGATGCCTGAAGTCCAATATCATGCTTTGAAAAGCAAAAGACTAATTACTAGGATCTCAAATCTTTTTGAGATGGCAGCGTAGTGGTGTTTCATTATCACAGCCTGACTGCAGTCCCCCCGAAACCCCGATGAACTGTGGTCGCACAGGACAGAGCTGGGGTGATGATCAGGCAAGTGCATGACAGCATTATCCTGTGAGAATAAAGAATGAGCGACGGCTCTGGTCATTATCTATGATGGTGATATCTTTAAGGTGCTTTAACAATTGTGGCACAGCTCTGCCTTCCCAGCAACCGTTAGACAGCATTGCATTTAAAGAGCTTGTGGTACATGATTAAGCTAAAACTATTGCAATGAAAATGTTCTCAGTCTACACCAAGCAGTGGAGGATCATCATACCCCTTGTGAGCTGTAGTAGAGCAAAAGAACCAGACAGATCTGAACATTTAAGAAATCCCTTGAGTTCCCAGGGAGTTGATAAGGTTTCAAAGCTGCTACAATAGCTCTGCTGCTGTCCACATTCTCCCCCAGGTTCTTGCACCACAGCCAGCTGGTCACAGGATGCATGTCAGTATTCAGACAGAGACTTTGTACAGCCCCTCAGGAAAGCTGTGAACTCTGAACCAGGGAGGTGCACTGGTGGTATTAAAAAGATACTTCGATCTAATACCGTTGGCTGTGGCACCATCTGATTTACCGCAAGCCATTTTAGGAGCATTGCTCTTACTGAAGGAGTAGAAGAAGTGCCACACATTAAACAACCCCCACAATTTAAATATGTATATTCACATTTCTCCGTTAGGTTCTGATTCCTTCTGAAAATAGAGCTCTCACTGACAGTGCTAGCACGTGATGAAGCCGGTACTGGGCTCTAGTTTCCTTAGCTGTTAAATGAAAAAAACCAACTTGGTTCATAAATCTAACAGCAGCCGCTAGAAATCAGAAATTTCTTAGAGAAATCCAAGAATGTGTCAGATAGTAAGCCAGTAAGCCACGATAATGATTATCAGGACTAATAAAAAAGGCCAACACCATTTTACCTGTGGAAAACAAACAAACCCTTGTCTCAATTACTCTTTTTGTTCCGAAATCCCTCTTGCTCCTTGGTGTGCCGAGCAGTCCTGATCCTCTAAGAAGTGAGTGGGCAAAAGTGGGCTGGGACTTGCTCCTTTTTCTCTTGCTCTCCCTTCCCCCTGCCTCCACCTGGGATCCCTGCCAGCAACAGCCAGCAAACTGGAACTACTGTGCAGGTTTGACATGAATTCCAGGCAGAGTACAAAGTCCTTATTCTTGAAATACTGGCATAACATGGCTACTGCCTTTTCTAGATTCCCTATCCAGTTTATTTTGTGCAAATTTGTATAAAGTCTCTCACTGCTCTATTTCAGTGCTTTAAAAGAGGTGCTATAAATAATAGCAAGAGATGCTATGAATAATAGCAAGACATGCTATAAAGAGTTTTGGTTCTCCCACACAGCCTTTTCAGCCTTTGAGATAGGATAAAAGGATTGTCCTCCCTCTTTTCTTCTATCATGTTGTCTTTTTGTTTTCGTTGCATTTTCCAGAAAGGTAGACATACCTAAATTGTGTTTTCTTTCCCTACACCCCAAAACTGAACATCTAGTCTCCACCCCCCTTCTTTCAGATTCTAAACCCTGTTGTAATACATTTTACAGTTCAAAAAGTCTTTAGCAACTACTTGGATGAGCTCTTTCTATTTGCTGACATTTTGGTTCTCCAAGTTGCTAGAATACAGTGACTGCTGAATTTAAGACTGTGTTCTAGAGAAGTCAGTAGGAGCCAGTGAGGTGGAAAGTTGAAGCAGCTTAAACTCTCAGATTCATATAAGCCCATGGCAGGAATAACCAGGGCTGGAGGTTTTTTATTTGTTGACCTCCTTGCATTTACAAAAATAACTGAATGTAGTATAAGTTGTCACATGGGGCTACTTTTACTCATATCTATTTGACTATAATACTTATTTTCTATGACTGCTTAACAGCTTGTGATGCTTCTGGTGCAAAGATTTTTCTTGAAAAAATTATATTTATCAAAAATTACATCATGCTTTGGGAAAGGCAGATCTTTGAACGCTGCCAATAACATAAGCATTAATTTTCACCTGGCTTTGGTCCAAATTGTGACTAAACTTTTTTTTTTCAGTCTTTCTAGACATTTACGTCTTTCTCAGCATGTGCTCACTACTGAAGATGTGCCCATGTTGGTGCTGGCATGACTTAAAAATGCAAACTGATATCCCACCACCCCTCCCCTCCCCCCAAAATCCCCCACCTTTTCATTTTTCCCTGCTAACAAAACTAACTGGAAGCAAAGACCTTGCATTCTATTCCTCACCACTGTGTTAGTGACCCAGTAAAGAGATAACAGCAGTGATTACTTGTTGTCTTAACAGAACTAAATTGTAAACAAAGACTTTTTCTAGCAACAAAAAAAAAAAGTAAAGTAACACTGAAGCAGAAAGGAGACGATTTTATCTCTGCAGCTTGAGCCCTGCAATATTTCCTGCTCTTCAGCTAACCACTTTTTCACTGTGCCTGAGCACAGGAAGCTGCTGTTTACTCCCTGTTCACACAGGCAAATTCTCTTCCAGCAAAAACTTATTTTGAGTCACTGTGTGCTTTATACTGATGTTTTCTTTCTGGCTTTTTGCACATCTGAGTAGTAAAAGCAATCACTGGCATATATTTAGCCGCTTTTCCCTTTGACAAGTTTTGTGAGTGAACTTAGAGTAGTGAAAAACATAAATATTGAAATAGCATACAAAATTTTGTAAAATCATTTCTATGCCCCACTTTGGAAAAAAATCACTAAGAGATAAGAAGAAAAGTGTTAACCAACTAAACTAGCTGAACAAGTAAACTGTTTGCAGGGATATTTGATGGGGGAAGCAAAACAACAAACAAATTACAATAACCTTTTTCCATTTACTAAATTCAACCACCAGTTTCTCTAGAATTCTAGCAGGATGCTTATAATGAACTCTGACTTCATCTACTCGTACAAAAATACAGGCATTAATACAGTTCAAAGCCCTAAAATCTGTGTAATTTCATTGCAAAATGCAGTGCAAAGTTGTCTTCTTAGAAAGTCAGGCTAGGGTCACAGCACTGCAGGTTTTTTGGTTTTTAGTTTTGGTTTATTTTGTGGGGTTTTTAACTAGTATTGGCATGATCTCTTTATACAAGTTGTAGTTGGTAAATTTATGTATACTGCTACTGAATATTTTTTTTCTCCAATACTCAGATGAACCTTGTTTTTCTAGGACTCACATTGAAACAGTGCAAACTACTAGTCCAAAACATTTTTATTAGCATCTTAAATGCAATAAAGTTGCTTTTGCCAAATTAGTATGCAACAGAACCTCCTTCTGAAGAGAAAAATGCTTATCTCTTTTTTGTAACTGTAGCAGAGGTATACTGCATGTCGACATCTTGTACTTCACAATGTCTGTTATGTGGGTAATTATTACCCAGCTAAAGCTTCAGATCACAAGTTCACAACTTGAGGACACTCCCTTACTAAATCAGATTCACTCCATCTCAGGTGTTGTTCAACATCTCAACAATATTTCTGCAGAGACAACAGAGCAGTACAGGAAGCAATAACAACTCAAACTACTATGTTTGGATAGAGTGCAACCATGATTTGTGTACTACAGAGGCACAACTGCAAACATCTAGAGTTTTATGTGAACCTAGCATTTCTTACTGTTGCCTGCTCGGCACTGTACACTAGGCTCTCTGCAGCATTCTCCAACTGTCTTCCTTGAGCAGGCAAAATCTCTAGTCAGAGATTAGGCATGTACCTCTACAGTTTTCTCTTACACGAGAGACTGCAAAACCAGGATTTCCTTAAACCTTTCACAGTGGCAAAGAATGAAAGGGAAAACTACTAATTGACATTGCTTTTTTTTTCTTTATTTTCATCCACTTTGCTTCCCAGAGAAAGAAAAGACACAATTATTATCTGAGAGCTTTGTCAGCAGAGGACTCAGTGCCACAGAACATGTCACTAGAACACACACCTCACAAAATTCGTGTGCTGTCCCCTTCCTTATCACACCAGCAGAATGGGAATGTCCCACAGCATGGCTGCAGCCACGGCTTCCACACCACGTTGTACACAGAGAGCTGCTCTGGGACTGGGGTCAGTGTCCTGCGATGCTCTTCGATGGCTCTTCCAATCGTCCTTATGACAGTGTCAAAGAGGGGCTCAATGTCAGCCGAGAGAGGTTTGGCTTCAGAAGGGTCTCGTGAGAGATCAAACAGCAACGGAGGGTCATGATGGGTCACACCTTCCCCAAAACATGGGCAATTTTTTTTTCCATAACAAGCTCCAGCCCCAGGTGGATGAAAGACTGGGGTCACAAAATGAGCCTTCCAGATAGCTCCACCTGGCAGGAAAGAAATATTATGACACAACTACAAGACCGTAGAAAAAACTGGAAGGTTCCCTGAAGCAATAGGAATACAGCTGTTTACTAAGGAGACCTCTTCTCACGCACCCTGGCACCCCCAATACCACAAATCAGATTATCTGTGTAGCTACTGATTTTGAAGGTGGAAAACTCTATAAATATGAAAAAAAACACATTGAATTTCCAGTGTGGCAGTTCCAGTGCCTGTATTGTCATCCCACTTTAAGGCATTCCCTTTGTTACTTACAAAAACTTCATTGCTTTAAGACATCTCTGGCTAGCTAGTCAGTGATATGTCATGCATAACCATTTCAAGAATCTCAGTACTGAAAAGCAACAGTCACACAAGAAACTTGTCAATTAGCAAGAGGAAAAAAATAATGTTTTGCGGTTACCATGGAACAAATATTTATACTTACTGTCCTTTTGGTGGCACCGCACTGCATGCAAGTAAGACCCACAATAGTGAAATAGAAACTCGTGATCTGACTTTTGAGCTCTTCCTTGCAGTAAAGGCAGCAAGTTTTGTCCATCAATCACCCTAATGTAATGGAGAGAAGCACAGTCAGGCAGGAGCAAACCTGACAGTGAACTGCATACTTAGCACTGCTTTTGCATTGGCTGCACTAGTGCATGAGAGAGCACACAGAATAATTTGGTCATAGATTTAGAGTAGCCAGCAGACTGCCAAACCAATATTTACATACCTAGATTTTTAGGGTTTTTTTTTTCAGTTTATTTATTTTATTTCTTGTAATATCTGGCTCAACTGATTTCATTTAGCAGTACATAAACAATATTTAGAGCTTGGTCTTGCAGAAAGAAGTAATTTATTCCTTAAATCAATAGTGATCTCATAACTGTGAACATTTTGCGACTTTCAAGGGAACTTAAAGAAATCTGTTGAGCAAGATAGGTTTAACAAACTTAGTAGGTACTGTAAATCAAGTCAATTGGTGCCAAAACAACCTCAGCCACTAAATCTTTCCTGAATGAGGCTGAACCTGTGTTTGAAACTGGCACCAGGTCTTTGGAAGGAACAACTGCTCTGGCCACATGCATGCCTATGTGTATATCTGTGAGAGTTTACTCACTAGTTTAAAATCTCAGGCTAGGCTTTAGGCAAAGGATCATTTGTGGGATCTCCAAGGATGATAAGAAACAGTCAATTTTTAGTCATTAGCTCTCCAGTGGTAAACACCTCCATACCTGTCGTGCGGCAATGTTCCTCCAGCCAGATGAACTACTGTGGGATAAATATCCATAAGACTTGTAGGTTCATCAATTACTGTGCCTGCAGGTAGTACTCCTGGCCACCTAAATATTCCTGGCACACGGATCCCTCCTTCCCAGCCTCCCATGCCTTTTCCGCCTGCAGTAAAATGAATCAACACATGGAACTCAGAGGCAAACACAATCCTCTTCATTGGCTTGTTTTATTTGAGTGTACAGAAAGAGATGCAGGAATACATTGCTTATCCAACAGATTCGACTCTTTGCTTGCTTTGGACTTCACATACTTCGTATTTCACATAGTTCACAGAAGAAAGGGCTCAGCAAGAGGTAAAGAGTGAGATCCTCTTAGACCAGAAAGACCATTTGCATTTTATGTCAATCACTGATTTTGGGTAGAATATAAAAGGATACAAAGAATAAATTATTGCAGCCAGTCCTGACACAACGTGCCCTTACTCTATTCAGTTATATTTCAAGCTAAAAATGCAACTCGTTCCAGCTTTGCTACTTCATCCAAGCAAATTCCTTGTTTCCAATTTTAACCTTCATATAAAGTTACAATGATTTTCCTACCTTTATAAATACCATTCCAGCCACCTAGCTGGGCAGACCCATTCTGAGCCTCCAAGTGTCCTCCATGATCAGAGGCAAAGTATGTGAATGTATGATTTTTCAAACCTTCTTTGTCAAGCAAATCCAGAATTTTCCCTTAAATTTAAGAAGACAAACAGCAAGATTTCTATTAACAAATTGGAAAGAACAAGACACACTTAAAATGTTTCAATAATAATCTTTCATAATGCCCCATAAGAAGTTTTTGATAGCTTACATTTCTGTAAGTATTTTGGCCTTATTAGTTTTTCTGCTTTAAAATATACAGCTGTATGTGTCTGAAACATATCTTTCATGAAGAATACTCACCCACCATCCAGTCCATTTCTTCTACATTGTCTCCATATAAACCATGACAGCTTTTCCCAAGGAATTTTGCTGTGGTAAAGAGGGGGGTGTGAACATGTAAAAAGGAAACAAAGAGTAGGAATGGTCCTTGCCTGTTTCTTAAGAACAAAAAAAAAATATTTTGTGTGTGTGTTTGGAATATTTTGAAAGACACATATTCTGAAAGACACAGACACTGGGTCTAGACTACACTCACATCTAGCACATCCTCACTGATCACAGAGCAGTTCTCTTTTTGCATGAAATGTGGGCAAGAAAGATCCTTTTCAGACTGATCATTTTCAATTTCCGGTGTGTACCCAGGCATAGAATTTGCACAATGCTTAAATAAATAAGATGCTTAACTCTGTTGACTTTTTAATTAAATGCAACTGGATACAGTCTCATGTTTACTTTAATACTCGTGTGGCTTTTTTAAGATGGCCACCTATAATTTTCATTATGTTCATTTTTGCAAAGTAGAAGAGAAGAATAGTTACTTTCCCTGTACTTTAAGACATTTGATGCACAAAATATAGAAAGCTGTGCAGGAAAAACTTGAATCTAGAAACTGAACAACCTTACTTGGCTTCCTTTTCAATCCATAAAAATAGATTTCAAGTGTTTTGATATTTTAACATGTAATAATTTCATGCATCACACACATTTTATCTCAGTAGTTTGTAGGGTTTATGAAAAAGAACACAAATGAGGCTTGTAGAATGAAGTGTAAAAACAAGTGGTTCTCATGATACAGTTATAGTTACTAGTGAGAAAAACTCTATTCCTAAAGTGCCCAGCACATCCCAGCTCCTTTACAGAAAACTACAGACCTTTTGATAAATGATATTGCCTCCTTCAGCATGAGGAAAGCAGTCCTCTCTAACCTCATTGGCTGCTCAGTGACATCATGGTTCCTCATCAGGATACAGTTCCAATACTGCACAAAGCCATAACTGGAATACCAAGAAATGAAGAAAAGGCTGCCCACCAAAGTAACACAGGCAATTGTCTTCCAGCGGGTGGAAATCAAACCAGTGAGTTTTCCAGCAGTAAGAGTGAGCACAGCAAGGGTAATTATCTGACTGTAAAGCCAAAGCTTAGCTTGAAGGGCTGCATCCAGGTCTGGAGGTTTATTTTTTTGACAGTTGTTTCGAAGTGTTAGAGGCATTCCATAAAAGTAGTCAAACCCATGATTGAGAGGATGGTGACAGTGATCATTGAAGGATTCACAGTTTACACCTTGATGCCACTTTCCTGAAGGTTTTAAAGCATGAAAGAAATTAGAACATTGTGGTGAACAACTCAAAAGGAGCTCAAGGTAAGTGTCAGCCTCTCTTTGGAAATTAGGCGAGTCACTCGATTTTTCCACAAAATGTTCATGCATTCTCCTCATGCACAAGGATGCTGAGTGAAACCAGTGCCTGATCAGGTGAACATGATACTGTAATGGGTGATCCCCAAGTGGTCAGGCAATAAACACATAAATTTGTGAGATTCTCAACTACTTAGGTGACAAGGGTCACATAAGGATAGGATTTCATTACCTTTCAGTGAGGACCAAAGAATTAAGGTACTCCAACTTGGTGATGGCTTTATTATGCTCCCTTCCAAACTTTCAATTCATAGATTAACATACAGAAGATATAACCTAAAGAACCAGTAAACTTTTGGGCAACGTTGACAAACATTTTGATCACCAGACTCAGGAAGAAGATTTCTCAAGCATGACCCTTCTACACACAAAAAGAGAAAAAGCTATAAACCACCATCTTACTCTATCCCCGCCCAAAACATAAAAAGAAGCTGTTGTCTGCTTCGAAAGTGTGCTGAATCAAAAGACCCTTGGTTTGCTGAGTTATGTGATTGCCAAGTGATTACAGAGACAGCCAAAAAGACTACAGTTAATTAGCTTGTGGTTCAATGACGCCACATCTATTTCTAGTACTTGGAAATGACAATGCATTTGGCACAGTTGGCCCTAAATCATCTGATTTTAAAGGACACAGTGCTTACCCTATCTACCCATTTATGTGAAGGGATCCATCATGGAGTGCCTGTCACAATAAAATGTGACAGGAAAAAAATGTGAATGAAAGGGAAAAGAAATTTTGCCAGTTGATTTTAGAGATATTTGGCAAAAGAACAACGAATCTTGAAACTATTGTGTCTGATCAAAGTCACAGACAGGAATGTGTTGTGAGACAGTGTTTCCCTGACACCTTTGCATTTTGGGCTGAGGAAACAGCCACCGTATCACGTCTCTGGGACTCAACAGCCTCATCTGTGACGTGCTTGTGCTTTGTGACCTCCTCTGTGGTACAAACTTTTCTCCTTTCTCTCCCTTTCTCTTTTATTTCTCTGCCTCTTGCCTCCTAAAGGCAGACGAAATACTTAAAGATATTATTTTGTTTGGAGCAGTCTCTATGTTAATAAAATTCTCACAGGTAAAAATAAATGCTCACCATTATAATCATGAGAGAGTTTTTCATTCTTCCTGTTTTGGGTAGCTTGTACAGGCATTACCATTGTGTTAAAACTGCAGTATTTTTAGTCTTCTTTCAAAACATGGGGGTTTTTAGCCACTTAGCCTTTTGGAGAGGATTTGTATCTGTGACTAACAGACCATTCTGTGCTAAAACAATCCCTAAATTCCCTTCATATAACTAGTTCATTCTTCAAGGTCATGATAAAACATTTTCCTTTACCTATCAGTCCAGTGGTATAGCCTTGTTGCTGCAGCAGCCTGGCAAATGTCGTCTCATTAGCAGGGAGCCCTCCTGACCCGGCGTTCCACTGCAGTGCTCGGTACCTGTTACTGGATGCCATCCCTGATGGAAATTGCTATGGTCAGTCCTGTGAGCCTTTTTCTCCCTGCTGGCAGAGCCTGGGCTGCTCCTGCCAATCTTTGCATCAGGAGCTCAGCCTCAAGCCAGCAGAGTTCCTCACGAGATATAAAGCAAAGCATGTCTTGCAGGCAGTCACATCCCATTATCAATAGTGTGTCTTAGGTACTTCAGGTACTCAGGAGTTGTATTGCAACAAAAATGTTGCTTGATACCAGTTTTGACATCAAATTGATAATAAATTGATGGTGACTCTATATAGTAAATTTTATATTCTGACTTTCTGAGTATCTGTGAATAACAATCTAGACTAGGAGATAACAGTTGCATTTCCCTAACTCAGAGGGATGCTGTATCATGTTAGACAGGAGACAGTTCACCAAACATACACACTGAGTTTGCACTTAGTTCTAAAAAGTAGGTATCTAATTTTCCTGTATATCACCTAGTGAGAGATGAATATCTATAAAGTTCTCCATAAGGCACCTTAGAAAGGTAGGGAAAGAATCCAACCTCCATTTTCACTGGAGCTTTGTGACTTTGTGCAACTTGTTGGCAATGAACTTGCCCATTTCTCTTGAGAACCCTGTTTTAAACCCTTACTTATAACCATAACCATCAAGAGGGATTCTGGCAGATTGCACCCCAGGCTGTGTTGCAGTAAGGAAGTGACAGGTATAACTGCTGTTGGATTTCTCCATACCTATGTATTTTCATTATTTAAATCTTTTACATCCTATAAAGTAAGGCTAAAGCTCTGTCAGCTGACAAGAAACTTTGGGCATCTAACAGTGCATTTTCTGTCTCAGGTTCAGAAAATAGCCTCAGTTCTCCTATTCCAGTACTTATTGGCTATTGTAGCTTTTCAGCACCATGCAAAGAAATTTGTAATTCAAAATGGGCCAAACCTGATCTAATGGGGTATCTGCCAGTGAGGAAAGCTGCTCTGCTCGGAGTGCAAAGTGAAGCTGCGGCAATGTGTTGAGTAAGCTTCACTCCTTCTCTTGCCAAGCGGTCAATGTTTGGGGTCCTAAAAAACAGTTACAAGTTTAACAAAAGCAAGGTAATCTGAAGTTTGTTAAAATAAATTGTCAAGAACTAAAGTTTTTAAACAGCTCCCCCCCCCCCCAAAAAAATCTTTAATGCTCCAAGACTGGTATAGTAACAAGCTTGATACAGTGGGTGAAGTGGGCTGTAGCCACTGGAGAATCCATTCTTGAAACACAGTCTTAGAATGCACCTGGCAACACTGCAAAGACGCTTAGGCATTGTTGGAACTGTTTAGTTTGAAGATAAAACTAAACCAGGAAGGATTATCTAAGAAAGACTGATATTTTTCTATTCCAGTACTTTCAACAGATCACTTTTGCCAGAGCATTTGGACCCTAAGTTTCAGAATTCATTGAGCCAGAGCATCTCCCAGGGTGTCTGGAGCTCTTTAAACCAGGACTTTCTGTTCCATGTTTTTAAATCATGCTATTTATATTATAATAGGTTGATATCTTTATGCAGGTACACTTGTTTGGGAGCTCAACTCTTCCAGATGAGTGAACTACAACACCATGAAGAGTGAGAGACCTCACCCCTAGCAGAGAAACACAACAGAGTCCCACAAGCACATTCCCATATCTCTGTATAACCCCACTAACACCATGTGAGAGAGATGCACTCAGAGCATGCCAACAAAACATCTGAGCTCCACTTGGAGAACACAACACAAGGCTCGTAAGATGTGCCCCTGATGTATATTCACTCCTGCTTTGCCTCTTTAGTTTTTAAGGAATGTAATCACTAGCTTCTAAGGCACATAATCATGTGATAACTCATGTGGGTCAATGAGTCTGGCTTGTAGTGTTTTGGAGAAGGCAGCAAACAAGTGTATGAGAGATTCTGTAAAGGTACCGGGTGAATAGTGTAAGGCTTAACTATGCATGGAAGAGAACGAAGAAATTCATGCATGAGAAGAGAAAACAGTAACTGTAGTACAAAAACAAGAGGCTGAGGAGTTAGCACATTTTGAGGTCAAGGGGAAAGGGATTCCCAGAACAAACTTAAAACCAAAATGAAAATATTATACTTCTTTTCTTTCACTGCACACTGTTTATTTAGGCCCCAATACTATGTGCATATATACAAGTACTTAGAAACACAATTACTAGAGTCTTGAATTAAGAGATTAAGAACATTCCTTTCTTTTTTTTTTAATAATTAGGCTTAATTCCCCAGGATAGGTATTCTATAGTGTTAAATATATTGTATGAAATGTTTTACCTTATGGAATTGTTCCCATAACAACCTATATCTCCAATGCCAAGATCATCAGCCAGAAACAGAAGTATATTGGGTTTAGAGTCCACAGCTGCACTGAAGCCAAATGTGTTCCAGAGTAAACATGAAGTCAATGACATTAGGAGGTACCTCCTGAAACACAAAAAATTAATTTTTATATGCATAATTTGTAAGTGTTGGAGAGTATCGGGAAACTTTATTGGGCAGCCACACTTACAGAGGGAAGCAGAGGAACAGAATTTTACTTCCAGTTTCATTTCTATCTCAACAACTGAAATAACTCTAGCCACTGAGGCCACAGTAGCCTTTCTATAGCACAAGAAACCCTGTCATTCATTTGGCTCAGGAATTTTCATCTTGAATCGGTTGCATAGGTTTCAAGATGTATCAAAAACTTCTAGGAGCTGAGAACAGTTAGTATTTCCAAGGTTCACAAATTCTATGAAAATTCAGGTTATGTTCCACAGTCACTCTGGCATTTTTTGGGTATCTTGTCTCCAGTGAGTAAAGCAGTTTTAATTTTAATTTGGAAGGGAAGTGGAAAAACCTAAACAATCTCTCCCTTACAAATCAAGAACACTTGAACTTGAAGCCATCTCCTCTTCTGCCATTGTAAGATGCCAAGCAGGCCCCATACCAGCATCAACTATAATAAATATCTGCTGCAAAAACCCTAGGATTTACATTTTTACACATGCATACCAGAATTTTCATATAAATATGCCTAGAATGTGTTTCTCCAATTAAATATTGCTCATCAATAGCCTTAAAACCTAATCCTGGTTTGATATTTTCAGTTATCATTGCAACATGTACTAACTTTGCAAGACATCAGACAGCAGCAAGCCTCTAGAAAAGACTGAGAGAGCTCCTGCAAATCGTTTCGGGATTTGCCATATTGATGGAAAGATCTTCTATACAAAAACACGTTTTTGAATGAATTGGTAACCATCACCTCTGACAGGCAAACACAACACATCGGACTATCTGTAAACATGACTGTGATCACCCAATTGTAAATAATTAAGCAGTGGCTGTGGGAATTTAATTATCCAATAGCACCGTTCCAGTTCTTTGGGGTTTTTTTGTGCATTCTACTACTAAATTACAACAGTGATGTACAGAATTGTGGTGAAAAATTGCACGAGATGCACTGTGGGCTATTTCCATCTCTACAAGGAATAGTCATTTTAAGGAAAGGAGACTTTTCTGTTTGCCAGTGTTGTATCTCTTAAGAGTTTCAGGGCATAACACTGGCCTACTGAATCCTAACGCTGGCATAGTGAATCCTTTCAGAGTGCCAATACACTCAGTTAAAGTTGCATTAGGAAGATCTCAAAAAGGATCCTGACAGCCCATTCCAGTCACTCAGGCATTCTCCTTTCCAAGATAAGGACAAGAGCAGTGCTCTCCAGCTCTGCCTGTCTTGTTAAAAAAAAAAGAAATGGAGAAAAAAAAAAGCAAATTATGAAATCTGCTTTTACTTATGTCTGCAGTCAAATGCTAGCACTTGGTTTTCTTATGCTTAAGTGCTGGATACTTTCTGATCCCTGTGATAATCCTGCTTGTGGATTAATATAGGGTCAAGGACAAATTCCATCTCAGTTAACATACTGCTTGCAGTTCCAAGTCCATATCCTAAGCTGTAGCATTATTGTACATTATAAAATAACCATAGTTAGACCTCAAAGTGATCTTCTTTCAGCAATACACTGAGGAGGACTGAAAGTATATTTAGTTACTAAACACCAATAAACCTTGAAAGCAATAGGGAAAGAGAATAGAGTACACAACATACATATAGATACATACACGTATAAATACATAAACCTTTTCAGAATTACCTCGAATACTATTTCTGGAAATAATCTTATTAGAGTCATAGCAAAAGGCTTCCACTTGAGACAGATCTCCTTGCTTAAAAACATGAAGATATTAAAAAAAACCCACAAACATTTGTCAGCTCGTATTACTAAGGGATTTTACATCATCTGCTTAATGAATCAGGTAAATGCAAAGCATTAGGAAAATACAGGCAACTATTATGTAACTTTTGTTTACAAGATATAATATGCACACCATAACTGAGCTCCCACAATGATCTTCAGAGGATAAATTAGAAGCTATTGGCACAGGCATTCAGATGCTGAAAAATACCTACTAAACTATAAAACATAGTGCCTATGTTTGCCTTAGAATTGTTTTCTAAGGTGATACTGCTGTGCTCAATGCACACTTAGAGAATTACAGCATTATGAAATGATAGCACCCTTCTATTCAAGAAATCTGCTCCTTCAAGGTTTTACAGGGAAGCTGTATCTGTGTAAGAGCCTCGCACCTTAGACTACTTCTGTGAGAGTTTTTACAAAGGAAGAGACGACTTTAACACTGTGGAGCTCACAGTCAAGGAGAGATTAAAAAAAATGGTGGGGGGAAACAATGATGACGTGATTTTTAATGGAGTTTATTTCCTAAATGAAGGTAAAGAAAGGAACAACAAAAACTTAAAGCAAATGAAGCATCAGGAAAAGTGATGCATTTGAGTCCAGGGCTGCTTCGGGGAAAAAAAGGTTGTTCAATTCAAACAAAATAATTTTAATTCTTCCAAGTACAAGCAAATACATCAAAGGAGAAGCCAGAAGCTTCTCACCTGAATAGAATGGCAGCAATGGCTGTGCAAGGTAGCAGTCCAATCCTGAAAATAAATTAAGCTTATAGAAAGCAACAAATTGAGCACAGTCAGCAGTGTGATGTCAGAGGTAAAAAAAAAAAAATCAATCAATCCTTCTATCTTTTTACAAGGGAGACCCTATCGCTCTCTACAGCTACCTGAAAGGAGGTTGTAGTGATCAATCAACAAGTGACAGGACAAGAGGAAATGGCCTCAAGTTGTGCCATGGGAGGTTTAGATTGGATATTAGGAAAAATTTCTTCACAGAAAGGGTTGTGAAGCATTGGAACAGGCTGCCCAGGGAAGTGGTGGACTCACCATCCCTAGAGGTATTTAAAAGATGTGTAGATGTGATATTTAAGGACAATATTAGGGTAAGAGTTGGACTTAATCTTTGAGGTCTTTTCTAACCTAAATGACTATGATTTTACCTCACAGACATGAGTACTGATGGGTTCAAACTGTGTACTGAACAAAAGTGTACTATTTAAAAGTGAAGTTTAAGAACTGGAGAAGAGGGCAGAGAACCATATAAAAAAATTCAAGAGTGGAAAAATATATTTTATTCTGAGATAACAAAAGCTCGGTCAAAAACAATACAGTAAATGACTAATTAGTGCAGAAATCCGTGCAGAGAAACAAAGGGAGCTACTCTTTCTGCAAGCAAGGCTATTTACTATTCAGTCAGGTTTCCAAGCAGAGTGCAATATAATCATGACTGGGTACCTTAAGTGAAAGAAAGAAAAGTATTCTAAAGAAACATAAGTTATGGGACTCCACAGAGTGGCAGTCAGTCAAAATTTAACAGCTTACACTAAACATGATCAGAGCAACAATCTGATATAAACTACTACTGTAGTATCTTCCTCAGCAGCCACTTTGTGAGACAGCTTTTTTAGAGCTACCTAAAGGAGCTCAATTAAAGCTAATTTTAAGATTCTTACCTAAAGAGTTCAAACAAGCTGAAGAAAACTGCCCTTGCCTTGAAGAAGCTGCTTCTCATCAAAACATTCATTTTTTATTTCAAGAATGCTTTTTGTTTTAATACTAGTAATTCTCCCTACTATTTAAATTCTGGTACATATCACCCAAAAGTAATCTTAAAATACTAATTCTGTAGATTGATTAGTTCTTGCACAGACAAAAGGGGCCCTGAATGATACCGAATTATATTCTCAATAGAAGTCTTCCCAGACAAAGAATCACCAGAGGCAACCATGGATTTCCTAGTCTTATAGAACTGATTATTCTTAAGCCAATTATTGATTGCTGTTACTACTGAATTTCAGCTGAAGTGTTCTCAAATGTCATTATTATTAAATAAAAACATAATTATTTCTTTTACAACCAGAAGTACACAGCATCAGTTATTCAGTCTAGTAGGACTCTAATAATTCAGCCTGAACATTCCTGTAAAATAAGAGCAAATCTGTAAAATAAGAGCAAATAAGGTGATGTGATGTTTTCTGCACAAACAGCAAAAAATGGCCAGCACAAATTCGTGTGGACACATTGTCCCTAGGTAAACAATTTTGATTATCTGTAAACCTTATCCAAAACTTAGTCTCTTCAGCAGCTGATACTACACATGACCGCTCTACCACTTCTTTCTTCAAATTTTCCAACTGTTAATGAAGACTTAATCAACTTGCAATGCAATTCATTCCACTTGCCAGGAATACCACAAAGTCTGAAGCTGTCTCAGCAGTCACTTGAAGAGATTTAGCAAAAGAAGCTTTTGCTGGGTTTATTAAGTGGCTAAAGTAGGTGGACCTAACTCAAAATGGATTGGTAACAACTCCAAATACTGATATACAACTTTTTATAGCCAGTTGCCTTGTGCAGACTCGTTTTTTTTTTTCAGCTTTGCTTTACAGAAAGCAAACTGCAAGCCTGAAACTGCTAGAAAACAAGCGTCTTCTTCCCCTGCAGCTTGGCTTCAGGTAGTTCCCCCATCCTTCAAATATTTCACTTATTGAATATATTCCCAGATTAGAGGTAATCCTTCTTGATATCTGACAGTGAAAAAAAAAAAGACAAAACTTACAGAGAATAAAAAAGACATACCTCCACTTCAAAAATTTCTGCTCATTACAAAAATATTTATTGAAGCCAGTCATATCCCATGTTTCACCCTTATGCCCAGAAGACTGGCGTTACCACCACTCACTGGGAAGCCACCAGAGTTGAAAGGAATTTTTCATTCTTAAAAATGTTAAGAGAGGTCCAGTTCCAATAGAAAAATTTGGAATAAGCTCTTGTCAATTGTGCTAAAAGCCTGTAATTGGACACAGCAAAATAATTTGCCTTCTTGTTTTCTTTGTCTAACTTCAGATACTGAAAAAAATTATTTGCACCCTGATGCAAAACCAGAACAAAACCCCAAACTCTTTAGCACTTATTTAAATATAACAAAAGTGAATTATAATTATTAAATATATATATACATATAAATATTTAAATGTGGTGTATTGAAGTCTCTTTCTGCTTAGCTGTTGACTAAAAATAAACACTTGCTTTTCACCTTTTATAAAAATCTTATGAAGCTTCACTTCATTAAACAGTATATTCAAATGTAATTAAAAATGCTAATGTCAACTTGCACTATGGCTCTGGAGGAAGTATGTGCCACATACTATATGCCACATACTGTTCTGTCTTGTTGACCTTTTCTCTCTTCCATAGCTTCTAGGTATACAGATGTTCAGGAGAGGAAAGGCAACAAGTGGGGAATGAGTGAAACAAGAAATCAAAAAACTCCCAGCTCATGTGAGTGCAGTCACTTGCTTAGAACTTGCTGCTGGTAAACCAGAAACAGGCACCGTTCATCAGCCATAATTCAAGGGATGGCCTTGCAAGAAAGACAGATACCAAAATCAGGAGATGATCAGCAGTCTGTCTTTTTTTCCCTTTCCATTCTGCACTCTCAAGGTGCCAGCTGCAAGAGCGCTTACTGGGGGGATATAGCTCTTACTGACTTGAATAATATCAATACTTGTTATCTTGTACCATGATTACATCATTATATTACCACATAGTGTTGTGCATTGTCAGTAAGCAATACTTGCATGGCAAGTAACCCAATTTTTTTATTTTATTATGGCCACTCTGTTCTGGCCTTGCTGCTGCACAGCAGCACCCTATCTTCAGAGCAAAGGCAGAAGGAGATGGTCTTGCTCTAGGCTGTAAATTAGCTCATGTATTTTCACATTATGATTAGCATTATGATTAGATCTAAATGATCTAATTATGCCTTCTGGCTTTAAACAACTCATCTAGAAACAAACACCTTTCCTTACAGCCAGGACAAGAGCAAAACACATGGCTGGAAAATCAGAGACAGAAAGAGGGCAGATAAATGAGATCAAAAGAGCAGCAACTACGGGCGTGGCTGCTAGAGGAATTGTGAAGAACACAACCAAGCAAACCAGGGGCAAATAATGCTTTGTATTCATCCCTATAAATTCACAGGAGAAAAAAAAAAGCACCTCCAAAATGAAACACTAAAAGGGGAAGGAAAGCCCAGCTTGTTAATTATCGTGCACTGCTGATTCCCCCATCACACACTCTAAGCCTGCTCATGCATTGTTTTTGATGTTTATGACCTGCTGGACTAGCTCCACTGGCAAGTGAGGGTGACAGCTCAGCAGGGGAGGATTGGAGGGAGCAAGAGTAGAGGCAGGACACCACTCCCCAGGGAGTGCACAGCTCTGAAGGGCAGAGTTCACTAATCCTGTGCAACTTCCCAGTACCTCCTCATGGAAAATGGGCTGGAATCAGTCTGGGAAAGCACTGGCCCAGGCAGTCACTCCCACCTCGAGCCCCACTGTCCCAGACAAAAGTTCTCAACGGCGAGCTATGGCAAGTTCACTCCCTGCCCAGCTTTGTATAAAGAAAGGAAGAAAAAGTCCTCCCCGAAAGAAAAGCAAAGGTGCGGACTTTTTTGGGGGGAGTGGGATTTTTGTTTTGTGCGACACCAACAGCAAAACCCCAAATGACCAAAAACCCAAAGAAACCCCTAATCTTTTACTTACTCCATGCTTACTCCCTGCAGGAGCTTTGTTCTTACTTCCCTCTTCACCTCAGGCTTTCTGATCTTTGCTTCCAAGGAGGGGTTATCAAAAACACAGCTCGTATAGTCATATCGGAGTAATTGGCAGGTGTCCGTCTCCTTTAAAATCTGGTACTCATTTCATCCCGCCTGCCGCAGGGGCGGGCTTCCCTGCCTTCTCCTGGTAACAATTCCTGAATAAGGAAGAACTCTCTAAAGCAGAAGCTTGAAGTACGCTGCTCCAACTGCCAACAAATAGAAGAGCTTTAGCAGTAACTGAGAGAAAGTACATAAATCCCAGGCAGAGAGACCGTTGGCTACGTCACGCTGTGTGGAAAACCACCCTCTGGATAGAAGTAGGAGAGCCGTGGCTAATGCAGAGTGTGAGCCAACCAGCCCCCTTGAAATCAAAAATCAATCGTTGTACTGTCATGTTCGTGTGTGCATGCCAGTTCTAGCAGCCTGGTAATTCCCTGGTATGTTATTATAGTTCCACTGTTTCTATGTTCTCTCCTGTGCCAGTACTAATACAGATATGGTTGCACAGTCTGGCTTGCCATGCATCTTTACAGTCCCATGGGGGCACTGCACTCCTCTTTTTACTGGCTATGTGTGCTTATGGCGATTTAAAAAGGGGATATAAAAGTGTTGTGCTGTAATCCACAGAATAAGGGCTTTATTCAAAGAAAGGCAGAAAACAGGATAGAATATGTCTTGGTGTAGACATATTCTTATTTGGAGGCCAAAATAAATATTAACACAAAATACCATGGCAAGGAGGAGAAAACGGAGCTTATTAACCAGCCCCTGATAATTACAATGGTATTCACAGCATCATTGATGTGTGCGGTGCATGAGACTTAAGGGGAACATAAGGGTCTTAAATATTTATCTGCATATAGGAGTAGTAACTGCAACATTTTTGTCAAGAAATTCTGCCCAAAGAAGTAATCGGTAGAAGTAATTGAAGCTGAGAGAAGCCTATGAAGTGGGGGAAAGAATGAGACTGCAAGGAAGAAGCCTTCAGCTGAAATTAGGACAAGGGCACTCCTGAGGAGAGGAAGATGCTTGAATGCATTAAGGAGCAGATATTCAAGGAAAGATTCAGAAATACTAAGAGAAAGATTTTTATTTTCTTGTTTTGAAGGACTTGGAAAGAACTAGGTGGAAATGGTACAATTCAGGAGGCAGAAGAAAGTTCCTGAACTCAAGACTCAAGGAAAGAATCCACCCTGCAAAGACACAGTGAAGAAAGTAGGGATTTGGTTTTGGCCCTTTAACTCCAGAGAACATCTGATCAGACCATTTCCAACTCTTATATCTGTGAAAATTCACTCTATCCATCCAGAAAGGCTTTTCCATCTTGTCTGCCTGGCCATCTGCCATAATCAGAAGCAGAATAAGGTGATGTGATGTTTTTAAAGCCCTCCTTGTCACCAGCATCTTTAGTTTGGCCTCCATAGAAATACTGAAATATGGTGAAATAGATCAACTTCAATATCTTCTAATTATGAAGAATTTTTCTTAATTTCCTAATTTCTTTCTTATAGATTGAACAGGAATTTTTAAAAATGCTATTTTAACTTGTCAATTTTGTGTTAATATTTTAGTTTGTATTTTTTTAGTTAACCAGTAATTAGCTTACATTACATATATCTGTTATTGGTTTTTTTGCCTCCACAGAACTGAAAAGTTTGAGTTTTAATCTCAGATATATTTTCTATTTGCTATTTTCCTCCAGTATTATTTTTCATGTGTTTATATGTTATTTTGGCATTTTTGTGATGTTAATACCTTCAGCTTGTGGTTTGCAATAAGGCTGTTTATTGTTAGCCCTTCAAGACACTATATTTGGCAAGCTGAACAATACAATCCCTCAAAATGACATGTGGTTCCCAACATACAGAAATAACCAAAGCTTTAAATTCAGCCCTCCAATCATGCAAACGAAATGAATGGGCCAATTTGCCCAGAACCTAAACATCAGTGCTTGCAGGGTCTGTATTTTCAATTGCAGAAAAAGCCTTCAAGTGCCAAGAAAGAGCACTTTGTGAAGGGAGCTTCTTGTTAGTGGTGTCTTTGCTGTCATGTAGAGAGACCCAACTCCAGACCAAGACTCTGTCACACAATGTAGAGACAGAGAATGGGCTGTGCCCCTAGGCATTAAATGTTAAATTTCATTAAAATTTTTTAACATTCAAAAATGTTAATTGGTGTTAAATACTGAAGACTTACAGTTAGTAAGAAGGTTAAATGGCATTTTTTAATCCTTTGTATCAATATTAGAATATTCCCACTGGTTATGGTTTAATTTCACGGTCTCTCATCATAATTTACAAATCAACAATGAGAAGTTGGTGGCAAAGAATAAGAGATCCAACCCACCAAGGCAAATGAAAGTTTTCCAGCTGGCTGAAATCAAACCAGGAAGTCATCTGAAGGCAAAAGTGAGTGTAATGAGGCCAGTGATCTGATTTTAAAGCCAGAGCTTCACATGAAAGGCTCTCACAGTCCTGTAGGCTGTTATCTGACAACTATTTACTAAGCTAAAAGGCAATCCATAAAAATAACCAAACCCATCATTTAAAGGATGATGACATTGATCACTGTGGATTCACAGTAAGCACCTTGATGGTGGTTTCATCAAAATATGAATGCTTTTAAAGCATTGTTAAGAAACAATATTTAAAATCAAGTTGCCTTGCTTAGAAGCTGCTAGCCATCAGCACTGCTGTTCCTTTGCTTGATAACATTCTAAAAGTTCAAGGTCTCCTCATCACTCTGCAAAATAGGTCATAGACAAGAAAGAATTATAAACCGGAATCTTGAAGAGACAGTGTTTCCAAGCAAAAAATAATATCTCTGCTTTTTTGTTTGATTGTTTTGTTCTGCCAGCTTTAAGAAGGAGAAATGAAAATAAGTAGTGAGAAAAGAATGGCAAAAAATGCCATTGTCCTCTTACCCTATCCTCTAGGAAGGGATTATGAGATTTCATGGAGTGAGTGAACATAAGTAACCAGTTTATAAATGGTTCCTTAATTGTAGCAATTATTAATGAGAAATAAATAAACTGCCTAATGACAGAAAGTCAACTCCATAACTGGCTCACATGTTTTGAGTTTTGGAAGTATCCCAGTCTTCTGCTGAGACTAGTAAAATCCTTTATAAGAAAACCACCAAAAAGCTGTGGAGGCTACTCAAGTGTACAGTAGAAAAACACTGAAACATCAATGACAAAATAATGCTAACTGAATTCAAATCCTGAAAAGCAGGACAAGGAAGTGTTTGCTTTTTATATTCTACCAGCAATTTATAATAATAATAATAATCATAATAATCATAATTTTTAATTGCTATTTTTAGGTAGGAAAAAAATGCTTAGTTGTAAAATACTGTGTTATGATGTGATGCTTAGCGGAAATTGTGAGGCAGTGTTGTGTCCATGCCAGTTACATAGTACAGATAGATACGCTGTGAGGGGTTTTAATTTGTAATCCTGATTTTGACATTTCTAGGTACTGCAGTTGATTATTTATATTTTGATTTGCCCCTGAGATGCTATTTAACAGACACTGTCAGTCTTGTTTGAGATAGTGCTCAAGCATAGACATAGATACCAACTTGTGAGTTCAGGGATAAAATTGTTAATCTGTGAAGCCTGGCAGATTCTCAGAATGTTGCATCACAGTGTCCACAGAAGAACACTAAGCTTGAAATACTGAAATCTGTGTGATTTTAGTTGGTGATTACATGCTGAAATCAAGATGGAGCACTTGACCAACGTGTGTTCAGGAGAGTTCAAAGTCAGCTTAAAATACTCCCATTATTCTAAAGCAAAAAAAAAAAGATCAAATACAACTTAAAAAAAAGAAAAAGGAAGAATTCTTTTTTTTCTTCTCTTCTTCTTCTGCTTCACAGATCTCCTTTTTAGTAAAACAGACAAATATTTTATGACTAATTTGAATGAAAAGAGATAATTATATTTTCATGCTAAAATGTTGTTTTTTACAGTGTTTGAAAACATTTTAAGTATCCAAATTTAGATTTTAGGGGGTTTGTAAGACACTCTTGAAATTCATCTTGAATACTATCTATGTCATCTTAGGCTACGACCAGCATAATCATCTAGATGAAGACTGTATTGTGACTAAGCAGTAAAGATCAGTCTTAGCAAATGATTTGCACTGAAACAGTAGCTCATTCATTGGGTAGAAAAAAAGAAACGTGAACAGGCTGATTAGTATTTGACAGTTAGGATGTTTCCAACTATGATTTTGTCAAGGCAGCCTTTATTATTGCCCATGATTGTTCCACATGTGGTGTCCATGTTATCCAACTCTAAATGTTTGCTGATTGCATGGCACTTTGGATATCAGCAGGGCTTGATGACTCTGATTTCATATACAAACACCAGTGTCCAAGACAAACCCTAGCTCAGATGTTTTCTGGTACCCTCTAGCTCCAAATGGATATCCTACAGTGCTATGAAGATTTTCTGTGCAAGAAAAACTGCTTCAATCATATGAACGCTCATATTTTTAAAGGTGTTGAAAAATTGAAAGGATATAAAATCCCAGAGGCTAAACTGGCTTGAGAATGGAAGTGAGATCTTGGAATGACTGAGAATATAAAAAATGCCAGTCTGATTGCAGTCATTTCAGGTAAAGAAAAGACTTCATATTGAATATGAAAAGACCTTTAAATCTATCCAAGAAAGAAACAGTTAAATAGAATACACTCAAATGAGGAAAAAAGCAGACATTTCTAACAATGGAGGAAGTTAAGCAGCAATCCAGAACATGTGAAGTGATGGATTTACTGAATCTCTTGAAGTTTTCACAGTAAGACTTGAGCACCTTTCTCATCAATAACACTGATGGAGCACCTGGGTGAATTATAACTGTCTGTGAAGTGCATGAAGTCACAGCATAAAATAAAACTTTGCTTTTAAGCTGTAGGGCTTTATTTGCCTGCGGATTTCCTCATGGCTGAATTGTAGGAAATGAAGGAGGAAATAAAAATAAACCAAATATTTATCAAGGAAGATGAAGAAGAGAAACAGGTCCTAGCACAGTAGTTAGAAGAACAGTTAAAAACATGTGAAGTAAAGCAAATGGGCAAATTCTGTTCTTAGATGCCTACATATTCAGATATACCAGTGTAAACATGTCTATGTGAACAGATGAATTTTATGCCCTGCAATGAAAAGCATTACCTGCAAGGCCATTTAACTAGGAAAAATTCTTTTAATACAAAGAAGAAAAGAACTGCAGCAAAAGAGCAAGAGCAAGGAGATAGACCTAAGTAACTCTAGCTCTTTGGTGGAGTGGAAATGTTACTTGTGAAGTAAGAAATGCCTTTATTTTGCATTTCTTTTTTTCCATAGTAAATTATCATTTCTTTTTATAGTTAGTGTTTGACATCTTTCAAAGAGTCTTTTCTGAACCTGCTACTTGTCAGCACCAATGAGTTATGACTGAGATAAGGGCAACAGGGTAACCTGTGCAGTCATGTGCCCAAATAACTGAACTCATTACCAGTGTGGCACTTCTGTGGCCATCAATACCAAAATGCCTTTGCCAGTGCTGCTTAGGGAGCTGGGTGGTCTGGGAGCTTTGGAAAGGAAAAATCCTTTCCCTTTTGTATCAAAAGAGGCTCACTCCAATCAGAGGAGTCCCATCCTTCTCAGAGAGTGCAGACAGCTGCTACTCAGTTTGTCATGTTTCTGGGCAAAATTATTTTTAAATTATTTTGGAAGCAATAGTCTGCAAAATTTTATTATAGGAGCACCTTATACATCACCAGTAATGATAACAAAATTAAGGAAGACCTCAGTCCAGGACTCACGTAGAAATTCGGCACAAAAAAACCAAAACAAAGCTTCTGAGCGTACATTCGTAATCATCAAAACGTAAGTTATATCATTACTTGTACAGATCTAATCTTTACCTGCTTCGGTGCATTTGAACTATTCATTCAGTTGTCAGCAGATGCAAGTTAAAACATAGTCTTCAGAGCATTCTGTCTTAATCCCTACCTGAGAGAGTCCAGCCTATAGCCACCTTTACTAAATACTGTGCCATTCACTGGAACAATTCTTATACAAAGGCTCCATTTAGAGAAACAAATGACCCACTGATCAACACCCCGAAAGGAAACACTCTTAATCTAAATACATTTCTGAGGAAGTATCTCTTTCCATCCTTTACAGGTCAGCAAGTTTACTATCACCTTCCTTATCACACCAGCAGAATGGGAATGTCCCACAGCATGGCTGCAGCCACGGCTTCCACACCACGTTGTACACGGAGAGCTGCTCTGGGACTGGAGTCAGTGTCCTGCGATGCTCTTCGATGGCTCTTCCAATTGTCCTTATGACAGTGTCAAAGAGGGGCTCAATGTCAGCCGAGAGAGGTTTGGCTTCAGAAGGGTCTCGTGAGAGATCAAACAGCAACGGAGGGTCATGGTGGGTCACACCTTCCCCAAAACATGGGCAAAATCCTCTATCATAACAAGCCCCAGCTCCAGGAGGACTGAAGATAGGGGTCACATAGTGAGCCTTCCAAATGGCTCCACCTGGCAGGAAAGAAAGAATCACAGAAGGCTTGCACTGGTACTGGCAGTTATCACAGGGAAGAGTGAACTAGAGTTCATTTCTGTTTGCACTTCAGCTCTACACTTATTAGTTGATATAGTATTTTAATTTCATTTAAAATTAGGTGTCACAGAATTAAACCAATAATGTAAAATGATTTCTGACATTTTGAAATTTCTCCAAAGTTTTCAGCAAGTACAAGCTATCAGTCACTTCGCTTTTTAGGAAAACATGAAAAAAAGATTTGGGGATTCCATGGCTTGCTTCCTTTTTAAGGTAGCAGGACTACAGACAAAGGGCTGAGACAAGGACTTCTCTATGAGACAAGGAGGGTACTGACTCCCCAGGCATTGCTTTCAGGTGGAGATGTGGGTGAGACCTATCCTGAGCTCTAGTAGCCTGCCTGGCACACCACGTGCCTTGAAGCCACAAAAAAACTCTTTGTGCCGTACAATACAGGCAATGCTAGTAAGTACTTTAACACCTTATACCTGGAATTACATAGAAAGCTGCAATCCCAGAAAAAAATGTGTTAGGCCAGTGTGCCCTTCTGTAGACTGGACCTAATTTTTTGGAGAGAGGCTGTATACTCACTGTCTTTCTGGTGCCACCTCACAGCATGTAAATGAATGCCACAGTAGTGGAACAGGAACTCGTGCTCTGAGTGCACAACCGTTCCTCGCAGTAGAGGCATCAGATCCCGGCCATCAATTATCCTAACAGATAAAAACAGAGATCATCAGACTGATCTCTATATAGGACTGCATTCCTCCTGCAAACCTCTTGCTGGAACTGGCAACTTTGAATGAGAAAGAGGCTTGCAGAAGATATTGGGTAGAGGCTCAATTTCAAATGTAGAGAAGAGATGACCAAGCTGTGCTAACATAAACGTGCCTAGAAAAGGAGCAGGACTGAGAAAGAAAACATCAGACTCTTAGCATGTGTTTCCAAACTTTATTTTCCATTATTTTGGGAAAGAAGGAGTAATAAAGATATTTATGTTTGTACCTGTCCTGAGGCACTGCCCCTCCAGCCAGATGAACTACTGTAGGATAAATATCCATAAGGCTTGTAGGTTCATCAATAACTGTTCCTGGAGGTAACACTCCTGGCCATCTAAATATGCCTGGAACACGAATTCCTCCTTCCCAGCCTCCCATAGCTTTTCCACCTTTCATTAAAAAAAAAAAAAAGGATTTAAAATAAATTTCATTTGAAATAAAGAGAAATTTTAGACAAATGTTACTGTATTATAAGCTAATGTTAATTTCATGAGCCTTCTTTACTCTTTTGTTTTTACTGCCAAGCTCCTTCTCCTCAGCATCAATGAAAGTGTGTTCACTAGATCAGCCCCACTCCTGAATGACCTTCTTTTTTATTTTTTTTTTACTTCCTTCTATTATTTTACGAACACATTGCCCCATCAGCACTCAGTGTGGATAAAATTTTCAGGCATAAAATGATTTCCTAGTCTAGTTCTCATCTTTCTTCTACAATCCTATAACATTCCTGTCGTTGTGAAAGCAAGGATTCAGATGTAAGATGAAAGTAGTATTAAGTGAGAAGTTATACAATCTTAATAAAAATTAACTTGTGGTTACTTGCCTCATGAGGAAATTACGGTTTGAGAATTCATGCTTATAAAGAACACCTGCCCATTGTTAGCATTTACTTCATTTTTAAATACCTAATTAAAATGAGACAAATTTGCTTCTCAATGATAAAATACTGTCACTCTTTAAGCATACAGTCTTATCTACACCTTAGGGGTGTCCAAATACTCTACTAGTTGATGCTGGGTTGTCACTGTCCCTGACAGCTCTTACCTTTGTATATTCCATTCCAGCCACCCAGCTGCCTTTTGTCTTCTTGTCTTTCCAGCCATCCACCATGATCAGAGGCAAAGTAAACTAGTGTAGTATCTTTCAAACCTTCCTTATCAATAGCATCTAGAACCTGGCCTGTAAACACAAGAATATCTGTGTAATGAAAAGAAAAAAATATAGCTTACACTACATAAATTTTAGCCTCTGACTTGTCAACATTCATCAATGTAATTTCTTATCCATGTAGGGTTGCCCATTGTTTAAAAGAAGAGTTTTTTAAGATCAGGATTTTTAGTTATTATTTCACTAATATTAATATTATTGCTTATTAAAAGCATAGAAAATTTGTGATGTGCTGTAATCCCTTTATTATTTGTATTTTAACAAAGGAGTGCAACAACCACAGTCACAGGCTGTATTGTAAAGGACAAAAGTGCCACGTACTGTAAAAACATGGAAAGAAAATGTGATTCAAGACCCCAAAAAGTTAGATTCTGCATCAGTCAGAGATGAGAAATGTGTAAAAACACGTGTAAAACGTGTAAAAAATGTCATGTACCCTTACTTTATGTTGTCTAGACCACAGTTAGGATGTGGATTACATTACTGGATGGTTATAATATACATTAATGATAAATTTCCTTTTCATTTAAAAGTAATTCTTGAACTGTTTCTGATGTTCTTAATTTCTTAATTATATTCATGGTGTGTAAGTGTTTGACAGGTAGGTTTGAAACCAATTTCTGTGTATGTACCTAACCCTTATCCCTTTTGCCAATATGGGTCCTTTTCCTCCATCATGACTGAATGATAAATAACTCCTTTTTCCCTCCAAAAAACCAGGCTGAAGAATCTAATTTGGGGGGGCATACCAATTAAAATTTATGAACACTTCTGGATTTATGAATGGGGCTGAAAAATATTCATTACGCTGCTTCATGCGGCAGTCAGAAATAAATAGCCTGCTGGTTTATGTCTGGAATTAATTTACTTATCAGTTTTATCACGTTCTGATTACCTACTTAGAAATGACCATAAGAGGCTGAAATCACCTGGTCTCTATAAATCAAAGAAAATGAAATAATTCTCAATATTCAATAAGAAGATCAGGAGAGCTCCTTGACAGGAGCTAAGGGGACACAGTTAAAACTGGTAAACACTTGACCAAAAAAAAAAAAAGAATGAACAGAAAGACTCATTTTGTCCAAGGCTGGAGAAAGTAAAAAGCCAATGCTATAAGACAACAGTGCTCATACAAATTAACAGATGTTCATAAAAAGCTTAGGACGTCTTCCTACTTGTTTTTAATTATCTTCCTTGTCCTTTTCATAACAATTGTGTTTTATTACATGTTTAGACCTAGGTATTAGATAGTTGGAGACATTTTTATTTGCTATGGTGACTTACCCACGATCCAGTCCATCTCCTCTACATTGTCTCCATATAAACCATGTCTGCTCCTCTGAAGGAACTTCTCTGTGGTGAGGAGAGGGGTGTGGGAATGTAAAAAGGAAAGAAAGAGGAGGAATGGCTTGTGCTTATTTCTAAGGAACAGAAATCAACATTTTGTTATTAGGGAGGAAGGTTCTCAATGCATACAGAGGTCAGTCGTAATGAAAGATGGTATTATTTGTGTATAGATATTTCAACAATCTCTTCAGAGACATCATAGTTTGTAACCCGGTGATTAGGATTTGTCTGATCAAATAATGTTTGGCTTGTATAAAATGACCCTCTTTTTTCCTCTGAATCATAGATAGAAAACTTCTGGGTTGAAGCTCCACTTTCTGCTATTGCAAACCACCACTGTGCTACTGAAGTGAAGGCAGCAGGTTCATCTCCTGCCAGCTGCTGCCCACGTACCAGACTGTATGATAAGGCTCCAACACAGCCCTGCTCCAGGGAAGGAATTCCCTGGCCCACACATGCATTTCTGACATTAGCTGCTATTCCTTAAAGCTGCAATGTTGGTCTCATTGATAGATATATATATTTCCCCAATGTAGTCAAGAAATATTCAGTCCAACACATGGAAATTTGGAAATGTTATCAGCTTTAGTGAAGTAAAACATCCTTAAGCAGCAGCTAATTTTTTGGTTTAATGATACCATATAAACATTGATATTATTTAAAATTAATAAGCTTAATAATACTTATAATCCTATATGACATAAAAATTATAAAACACTCACATGGCAAAGTGCTGTTTAAAAGTTGCAAGATGTTCAAGAAAATTTGTGATCAAAGAAAAGCCACTTTACCTTTCAATAAATGAAATGGACTCTCTCAAGATAAGGGATGTAGTTCTGTCTGTCACCATTGGCTGCTCAGTAACTTCATGGTTTCTCATCATAATGCAGTTCCAGTAGCGAACAAACCCATAACTTGAGAACCAGGATACAAAGAACAGGAGACTAAACCCAGCAAGGCAGATCAGTGTTTTACAGTGGACTGGAATCAAGCCGGTCAGTCTTCCCAGGGCAGCAGTGAGTGCAATGAGGCCAATCATTTGAGTAGAAAGCCAGAGTTTCCTTCTAAAGGCTCTGTCCATCTCCGGTGTTTCTGTTGGTTGACAGTCACTTATTAGCGTAAAAGGCATCCCATAAAAATAGTCAAATCCATGATTTAAAGGGTGATGGCAATGGTCATTGCGGGATTCACAGTTAACACCTTGATGCCACTTCCCTGAAAATATAGATTTTTAAAACGTAAAGAGAAGATATTTGAAAAAACTGGATACGTTTTCCTCATCAAAATATTTCTCCAAAATGGATGGTTTCATTCTGCTGGTGATGACTTCTTCATCCTACACAGAAATATACTGAGTATCTAGTGATATAATGGGTTTGATGAAACCAAACCTCTACCAACAAAGTTATTGGTGCTCTGCACACATATTCATGCCCTTAAGCTTTTATCAAATATTAAAAAAAATGGATTATAAAGGGAACTAGAAATTGAGAAAAATTCAGAACCGAGCAAAAAATGTACAGCCTTTCTGGAGACCTATCAGGTAAAGTAGGAGGAAGCTATCATTTTTTAACCACAGGGCAAAATAACACTGTTCTGTTGTCTCTTAACTTCAAGGTGCTATGCAGACTTGTTTCTGAAAAGTTTTGAAGAGCTTGATGTCAGGATTGTGGCAACACTCGTTGGTGCCAGACTGAAAAGGGAGGCTATGGAGAGTAGTCAAATAACTGGCAGCTCAGCTGTCTGTTTGCCAGATAAACCACCAGATCCTGAAAAGCTTGAGCTCAGAAGATCAGGATTTCTCATGAAACAGTACATATGTAAGTAACTTTGCCGATCATTGTATCTCCATATACTGAATGAGAATAAAAGACTTAGTTTTGTAAATATTTTTGCTATTTGTATTTTGTCAAATTTTAAAAAGTTAAACCCTCCTTCTTTTAAATATTGAAGTCTTCATATATCAGAAGGAACATCTCTTGACCTTTTGCAATGCAATTTTTTCTTTATTATGAACATACAAACTATTATGATGAAGGGCACATCAAAACCATGCTTCTTCTTCCCCTCCAGCCTATTCAAACAGACTGGTTAGGCACTTACATGGGGACATTGCCAGCAGGCTCATTTGGCTCAAACACTGAAGTTTGTGAATATCTGAATCAAATGAACAAAATCTACCTCTCATCACAGAGACGTAGTGTAAGTGCATTTTATGATCTCTGATGTAATGCAGATCTTGGGTACTAGATCTATAGACCAAAATGAACATTTGGAATTGCATTTGAAGACTAATTTGCAACTAGTTCTTATTGTGGAGTCAGGAATTGTGCACTTACAAGAGGATGTTATAGTAAACCATTTGTTTAGGATATTACCAATACATATACTAGCAGCCAACCCTAAGTAGGTTTCAACAGAATTGCTGTGCATTACAATAGGAGCAGAAAAAAAACGCTTCAGAGGGAAAAAAACGCTGCTCTTCAGATATAAACATAAAGAAAGAATGGAAGGTCCACTCTAGGTGGATGAATTGCTTTCAGCTAAAATCTCTACTCAGTTTACCTCTTGACATATTTAGAGCCAGCTATAGTATGAAACAGGTTTGTAATCAATACATAGATGCATTGGTCATTAATACAGGTGCGGCTATAGTATCCTTGAAATCCAAACGCACTCCAACACCTAAATCTCCAGCCAAGGTCGATAAAGACTTCTGACATGCTAGAAAAGACTCAAATATCCAGAAGATAAACTAAGTGTATAATTAAGATAAATTAATCTCTGAGGGCATATGTTATGCAACATTGGCTTTTTGACTACAAAGTATCTTCAAAGCATTTCCCAACAAAAAGTCTCATTATCACCTCAAGCTGCAGATTATTAATAGGATTTAATTTGCAATTAAACTGGTTGTGCTCAGGGCAAAACAATCACAAACTATTCAGGTGCGACTACTTAGTGCTCATTCGGCTGTGGTGACATGCATAGATGTTAAGATTTTTTTGATTCATGACTTGAATGTAAAATTCTTGTGGGCTTTTGCTTTCCACCATCCCCTACGGTGCAATTAATCAGGATCTGTCAATCCAGTTAAACTAAGTGATGCTTTTGGTGTCCATAGTGTGATTTTAGCTGAGATGCCCACAGGGAAAATGCTAGTTCATTTTGCTTCTGGGAAGTATGCAGCAGAGTCTCCCTGCAGGGCAATTCCCTTGGGACAGTGGAGAGAAATCTGACTGTTTTTTTAGTGATTACGTGCTGAAACCAAGTTGAAGCATGCACAGGGTGTTTTATGAGCTGATTAAAACAACTAAAATAATATTGCTGCAAAACTAACAGGAGATGGAGCTTTAGTAATGTAGAATTTAAATAGCATAGAAGGCTTCTTTTAGTTTTGTCCTGTGTGGTTTAGATTTATTCTGTTGAATGAATATAAATCTATTTTTACAGGAACTTTTATTACTACATTCAGTTGGTTTGTGCAGCCAATATTTTTAAGTATCAGATGTAGATTTTGGATTTTGATATTTTAGATGCTGGATGAAGTAGAACAATTAGCTGAAAACTCAGCTCAGGAATGTTTGTGCTTTATCAGCCTGTGGAATTACGTGACATATCTAAGATAAATAATTATTTGAAACTAGATCATGACTAAAAGTTACAACTATTAAAAAGATAGAACTATAATATATAAACAAAATTCATGTCAGTGCTGAAGAAGGCAATGTTTTACAGGCTGTACTGAAATCTTGGTGAACTTAGTGCTGTATTGAAGAAAAAAATAATTGCTTTGTTTCTGGTTTTGAAAGGCCAAATCCTGTGATACTATAAATTGGCTCTACTGGTTTAAGTAGCAGCTGTTCCCTTTTGCCATGAATCTACTCTGAACTGGGTAAAACATCATCATGCATATTTAAATGGCACTCATATTTTTGCCTTTTTTTATGAAATAGCATCAAATAAGCATCTTGTACCTGGTACAATAATATTCAGGAATTATTAACATATTTTCCATTATATATTTTAACAACCAGTAAAGTTTTTCTGCTTCATCAGATGCTTGTTCTTTTAAGAAACGTACTATCTGGTCGGTATTTCTTCTTACATAATATTCTTAAATTGGGAAATAAAAATATTCCAACTGAAGTATTAGCAGTTACTAACTAAAACAACTGGTTCGAGTGAGATGTGCAGGTGAAACACATTCTAGAACATTTTTAGGAGTGTCTCCATACCTATCAGTCCTGTGCTGTAGCCTTGCTTCTGCAGTATTTTGGCAAAAGTGGTTTCATTTGGAGGAAGGCCTCCTGAGCCAGCATTCCAAAAAATAACACGGTAGTTGTTTGTAGCATCCATCCCTAAAAATAAAGCAATCTGAGTACTTTTAGCAACATACTTTGTTGTTTCCTGATTTCGTTGAAATCACAATGTTAAACATTCATCTTAATGCTGTTTGTTTGGGAAAATGAATCTAGGACTCTGGGCAAAATTAAACAAGAGTTAAGCCTCTCTATGGTACCCATTCTTCTTTGTACCTCACACTGAGACATCTTATTTAATTTAATCTAATTTCATTTCATTAGGAATGACACAGTTGTATAGGAGCTTTTATATGTTGCAGTGGCATCCAGGCTGTATGAAACGCACTTACTTAGTGTGACTGTGAGGGCAGGGAAGAGCATAAGGAGACTTAAGCCCTCTATTAGCCTCAAACTCCAGCTCACATAAGGCTGCCTGGGAACTCAAGATTCCCCTGCACAGTGTCATGACCGGTATCCCGTTTCTGAGACCCACAGAGTAGTTACCTAGCACTGCAGTATTCTCTTCACCTGCAGGTTTTAGCATTTTATACTGGCATAACCCCATCATACAGCGTTGTGTGAAGTTCAGTCACTCCTGGCAGTGTTGAACATCTCTGGTCCTATTGTTATAGTGGGAGAGGGTTTGTACAAGCGTACATGCACTTCCAAGCTACCAGTCTCAGTGGGAGCTGTCGTGATAAATGTAGGATGACATATCAGCTTCAAAATGCCTCAGGAATGAAGGCTCTGAAGATAATTTGCAATAGAACAAGCGTTTGAGAGTTGGTGTTAGAAACATGTAGAGCTGTTTGTTTTTCATACCTCTTCATCTCAGGGATGCAGTTTGACAGGATAGTATTTTTTCTTCAAAAACACTACTGGGAAAAATAATATAGCTGTCAAACTGTTATTTCATAGGGTAGATTAATTATGACAGATTCGTAAAGAAGCTTTCCCATACATGACTCGTTCTGCACCTCGACTGGAGGGAATGGACACACACCTGCACAGATCTACTCTGCTCCCTGCAGGGCTGAGCTGCTTCTGACATATGATGAGGAGTCACCCGACAGAAATTAATATAACTGGTGCTTTAGAAATGTGTCATTATTATTATTATTATTCATGTTTTGTGTAATGATTTCTTTGAATGTAACGATTTGCTCTAACTTCATTCTAGCTGCAATCTATACAACAGAGCACCAAAAGGCAACCAAAATTGTGAGTTGGGGGGACCAAGATGCTCTGCAGAGCTGGTTTTTCTCTGCTCTGCTTCCCCCCCAATCGGTTGGATGTACTCCATAAATATAGATGCCACCTCCAAGGTTCTAGGCCTGGCTGGTGTCTTGTGGGTCTCAGTGAGGGGTGATGTGTCTGTGGCACCCCTTCTATTTGCACACCCTCATTTTTTTTGTGCCCATCGTATTACATTGTTCTCTACAGTAATAAAGCAATGTTTAAAGGCTGCTTGGTTTTGCAAGGCGAACCTGATCGGAGGGGATATCTGCCAGTGAGGAAAGCTGCTCTGCTGGGGGTGCAAAGTGGAGCTGCAGCAATGTGTTGGGTCAGTTTCACTCCTTCCTTTGCCAGGCGATCAATGTTCGGGGTCCTAAAAATACAACCAGCACCATCAGATATCATTCAGAGGGTGTTTCAAGGGAATAAAGAATTATATACTTATCTTTATTTTGGGAAGTTTCTTCTATTTGAAGATGGTCAGGACATAATTTTTTAAAATTTATTTTAACTTTCTCAAGTAATAGGGAAATAGTTCTCTTTTTTCTTTTTACATTAACATCAGTATCTGGATTAATTTCAAGCCAACCATTCCTTCTTGTTTCCCATGTCCTGTGAAGAGTCTTGCAGAAATCATAGAACTTTAGAATGGTTTGGGTTGGAAGGGACCTTAAAAATAATCAATTTCCAAGCCTTCTGCTATGGGCAGGGACACCTTCCACTAGATCATGGTGCTCAGAGCCCCATCCAACCTGGTCTTGAACATTTCCAGGGATCAACAGCTTCTCTGGGCAACATGTTTCAGTGCCTCACCTCTCTCATAGTAAAGAATTTCTTTCTAATGTCTAATCTAAACCTACCCTCTTTCCATTTAAAGCCATTCCCCCTTGTCCTATCACTGCATTTCCTTGTAAAAAGTTCCTCTCAAGGCTTCTTATGGGCCCACTTTAGGTACTGGATGGCTGCTATAAAGTCTCCCTGGAGCCTTTTCTTCTCCAAAATATTTTTAAATTATATTTTTCTTACCCAGGGTTAAGGCTGAATTAACAGATAATCAATCCCATGGGGACAAGGAGAGCTATCTCTCTGCTGGACCTGTGCTTTTTCTCTCTGCCTCAGGAAGCTCCGCAACTTGCATGAAACATGCATAGACCTTTCATCCCTCCAGAGCTGCATTTCCTGCACCAGATTTTTAAAAAGCAGCATTTCCTACACCAGCTTTTTGAAGAGGAGTATATCAGCGTACAGTGTAATGGTAATTTAGTTGCCACAGGGTAACAATGCTTGACTACACAAGATGCTATGTGACTTATGGTACAGATAAGAAAGCAAACAAAATGCTTCTCCTGATGTTTGAAATGAAGGGAAAAGGAGAAAAATAGAAAGGAATCCTGCATGTTTTCACACTGTAGTGGCAATCTCTTGTGGCAACATGAATTAAGTGTAGATGAGAGAAGGGTATTTTGTGGACAACTGGCAACAAGCAAAACCAGGCTTGCCTAGCACACTAGTTACAGACAAGAGAATATCTTACGTTTCAGAATACAGTATCTCCTCTTCCAATGTAAGGTGTGCCTACTTCTACTTTAAATTAGATTCAACTTCAGTTTTACAATTTTGCTTTTGCAATTAGCAGTTCAGTGGTGTTCACATGTAGACAAAATCCTCAGTAGGGTTTCAAAAGATCCTGGATGTTTTGTTGGTTTGCTCTGGTACTGTTACAGATTCCTCCCTTAAAGACACACTGCCAGGAAAGAACGTCTGCAACAAGATTTCTTATTCTCTACAGCCTACAGCCTTTCATCAGAGATACCATGCAGTGTAACTTGGAAGAGCAGTTGGTATAGTTCCACCATTTAGCACAGCTGCCATCTCAGCTAGATAAACATGGCTTCTGAAAGGACCACTTCCCAAAATGTTGCTTTGAACTCCTGCCATTCTCAGCACTGTGGAGAGACAATTGCTAATAGACTTCAGGTACTTAGTCACTCCACTAGTACATCCCAAATGTACCCCACTGCTCTTGAAAAGAAAATCCATGCTATGGGGATGATGGTTTGGAGGCCCAGCATCGCAGAGCCCATCAGCTACCTACATTTGCGAGCTGCCTATCTGAAACTTGCCAACTGAAGCTGATTAAAGTAAGATTCTGAGAAATTTGCTGGGTGAGGGGAGTGATCACAGCAAATTTGGTTTTGTTCAAAGAAGTGACAAGCTGGTAGAAAGCCAGAAGGCAATACTGTGGCACAATTTTGAAAAAGAAGGCAAATTCTATGTCCTTGAGATTGAAAATAGAAGTATTTCCTAGTAACATAGCTCATTGCAACGATTTAACTGTACTTTGATGTAAGAATGGGAAACATAATGGCAACATAAAGTTAAAGTGAGGTAATAATATGTTGAAAGAGGGGACAACATTTCTATCTTTGAGTATAGCTCTTTCTCAATGTCAGGCAATTAAGGGATACACAAGAACAATTGGCATATTCCCACAGTGGTAGCAGAGCTGTCCCTGGGAATGCACTCTAGGCTATGATGTAATCCTAGGCAGAAGATTTCAGATTTACATTAAATATCACACCAGCTCTGTTCACCCTTACACTCAGTTTCCTTACCTGATAGTATCATTCCCATAGCAACCTACATCCCCTATGCCGAGGTCATCAGCCATCAACAGAACAATGTTTGGCTGTGTGATGATGGAAAGCTGTGTGACTGGTGGCTGCAGAAGCAGACCAAAAATCAGGAGTGTAACCAGGGGTGACCTGAAACACAGAAGAAGGAAAGAAGCCAATGACCTGGCCATTCATCATGCCCCCCATATGTAGCCAAAGACCCTCCAGTGTAAGCTTGGCTGCAGACCAGACCACTCTGTCCAGACACAGAGGGTGTGCTAAGTGTTTATCATTGACCCAAACAGATGTAATGAAAAGGAAAATGTCAGGTCCATAACTTTAAAATCTCCTTTTCTGATTGTTTCCAAGTTTCCTGTGAGCAGTCTCACGTGGGAATTTACAGGTAGCACGTGACACACAAGTGATTGTTCTTCAGTGGCTTGGGATGTTTATTAGAAGTTGGTCTGGGAAACTGAGGATGGGATCAACTTCCTCTGACATCATTCTTGACCAGACTGGGACCTTTGGGTTGTGCAAAAATTAATAACAAGAAAAACAAACAAACAAACCCCACATTGTTAGTGTACTTTATGGATAAACAATACTACTCTTTTATAACACAGTACTACATAATTATTAAGCTTCACTAAGATCTAAGTATGATGTAATGATAACTCATGATTTTTTTCTTACCAGTAAGATGCTAGTTGCCAAATCATTTCTGCATATGGAGTGTTCAGATCCTGCAAAACCAAGAGTATCTTGTCATATTTACATCTTCCTAGAAGTCACTGCAATAAAAATAGATTAAAAACTTTACCAAGGCCTGCTAACATTCTGTTTTATTTACTCCAATGCACCTCAGATCAGACCCTAAATGAAGAAGAGTAAAGGCATTAATGTTATTTTTTCTTGCTAGCACTTCTTCGCTTCTTAGAGGAATTTTTCTTTTTGTGTAGAGAAGTTTGTCTTAAAATAGCAAAATAATTCTCTTTTCTTACATGACTCAGCTGTGTGAAAAATACTTACTGTTCAGAAAGGAAAAGAAGACCTTTTTAAAATCCAGTCAATGTAATTTATTTTTCTGTGATCATAGAGAAAGTAGCAACCTGCTTCTTTACATAATGTGCCAAGTTTACTTTCAGGTTTATAAGAGGTATTTGTAGTTGTAGAAATTCTAGTCATCTGTTTCCAATAATATTTTCTTAGAAGAATTTTTGTCCTCTTGTTTTTTTACTGTAAGAATGCACAGGTTTCTCTGGGACTTTTCCTTTCCGTGCCGGGACAAGACAAACTATTTAAAGGCTTTGAAATAAGGGCCAAACGAATTTGGTTCAGAAGCTTTAAAATAGACTCCTTTCAAATTTATTCCATGTCTAGTTGAACTGTCCCAAGCATCTCAATTTTATAAATTATGTTGTTTTCATATTTTATTTTCCAGAAATGAGGTATTAAGCAGCTTATTTGATATCCATAGTCCTTACATTTTATCCATCAACACTACAAGCTTTGAAGGGAAAATTTAAACTTCTATACTTAGAAAATCAGCATCCAAACACTTACCAGTGCTGATACAGCGTTGCTATGTACAGACGCTGTTTTCTGCATTTGAGTTTGGGCCTTTGCTGCATCCTAAGTAGATATAGGAAAAGTACTGGAGAATACCTCAGCCATCTTTTACATTTAAATACTATGTGCCTCCAAAGCAGTTGAAATAAAAAGGAGTTGGAAAAAATCAGATTTAATTGTGCAATTGGTTGTCACTAACTGCTTGCACTTCACATTAGAGAGACATTGATTCAAAGCACAGCCTGGAGCTCAAGGCCGAGCTTCCTTAGAAGCTGCCCGTAAAACAGCAGGTAATACCGAAAACAGTTACTGCACTGGCTGGTATTATCCCTGTCAAGCCATTTCTTAGTGAAAGGTGGTGGGAGTCCGGTCAGAGAAACTTTAGCAGCTCTGGTGGGAGCAAGACAGAGAGTGAAAACAGCTTTCCCAATTCTGAACAATCAAAGGGAGCCCAGGTCCCTGCACACACAGCTGTGCAGCTCCCTGCTTGGCCCCTGGCAGCTGGGGCAGCAGCAAACAGTTCAGAGGATGCATTTTTGGAGACCTCTATGGAAGCACTTTTGCCAAAGCGCCACTGAAGCCATGCTGCAAACAAACAGTCCCCTCTGTTACCTGAACTGAATTTGGCTTAAAGCAAACTTTTTTTCTCCCTTTCACATCATTAATCCCTCCCCCAAAATAATTTAGATTTTATGCTCTTCTTCATCCATTTTAATAATCTCAGAATGGGGAGGGGGAAGGGCAGGAGAAGGGGGAAGGACATTTTAGCTTGCATATCTTTCATATTTAATTAATTGTTTTCCTGTATTGATTCAAAGCAATAAAATTCAAATTAAAAAGAAAAAAGTATTTACCTTTCCATCAAAATACTTACAGGATACTGAAATCCCAAGTCAAGCCAGTTTGCATAAGAGAAAATATTCATATTTTTAGATGTACTCAGATACACACAGTACCCATTTACGGCATCAGTTTGGCAACACTCAGCGAAAAGTCATACAGTTAATACCACTCAATTCAGTACTGTTCAGTCTGTGAAACTTTCTTTGAAAAATTCCTATTTTGAAGACTTGGAATAGATAAAAGTCAGACTCCTGATAACAAATTGACTGCAGCTCTCACTTTGTATGTATGTTTCTACGAGAATAATGTTGTTGTAAAGGGAAAAAAGTATTTTAAAAACTTCCTTGAGATATTTTTATCTGCAGGAGCAAGAAAAAAAAACTTTCCAAACACCCATTAAAATTTTCCTGTGCATTTTCCAACATAGTAAGGGAGGAATACAGTACCTGGTCAAGTTATGTTCAAAGCAGGCAGTTGATAGACTGGTGCATGAGCTTATTTTCAGTCGACTTAAAACCATTCAAAATTTTTCAGAACAAGGACTGCTGCTATGGCACAGCATCTAGTAACTGTTTCTGGAGACAGTCCTGAAATCTGCTGTAGTTGCACGTCCCACAGTTCACTACAGGAAAAGCGTGTTTACCAGAGCTTGCAAGCAGCTGGATGTTCTAGCTTATCCTGAAGTCCCTTAAGCTGCTCGTCCCACTGCTGTTTGCACAACTCTGACATTCACACAGCGTGTGAGGGTTGGGCTGGGGAACACCACAAATGCAGCTAAAATGCTTTCTGCCCAACCACCAGTTTCTCAAGGGATGGGAATGATCTCCTTCAAGTCTGAGACACTCCCATGAAAGGCACTATAAATAACCTTTCCTCACTTCCACCAGAGAAAAGAGAAAATCACTGTACTTACGGAGCAGCAATTCTTTGCCTGTAGAAATAGAAACTGAGCTAATTTCTTCACTTTATGGCAGTCCTCAGTGCTTGCAGCAGTGAAAAGATTGTCTCTGCACACGCAGTAAAAAATAGTTTTCGGGTGGGGAGGAAATGCCAGTAAGAGACTTGAATTTGCTTTTTCAGAAAATGAGTCATTCAGCTTCACTTCTGAGTGCTGCCTGTTTTCTTGTCGTCACTCAAAGGGACAAATTCAGGTTACATGCTGGCTAATGCTTGCTTTCTTGATTTTTCTTGTTTGAATCCTGCTGTACTGAGTGTTTTGGGACAGCATGAGGCAGTACTAAACAGCAATCTTGCTTTATTGACAGAATTTCCTGTGTCTTCATATCTTAAAAGAGAAGGGCGATGTTATTACGAGTTGATGGTTCATTACCAATTGCAATGCTCAGGTTGGTTTGCTAGTGGATCACCTCTGAGGCAAATTACAGCACCATAGGTGATCCCTTCCCTGCTCCCTCCCACCCTAACATTTGCATACTGAAGTGGTTACAGACAACACACACAGAAGAAGTGATGTGTCTGATTTTTCTTCTCTCAGTGCTTGCTTTCTTATCCCCACCTGTGTTACAGCATCCCAGTCTGTACCTCTCTAATTCCCACTCCCCTCATTGTGCCTCTAGCACTTCAAGGATTCATTAAAGTCTATAGGATTTCTTGTTTTCTGATGCCCTCTACTGCTGTATATTTTCTAAAAAGAAACACCTTCTGAGGTGCTTATGTTTTTTTCTGTTCAGATTTCAGTCAGTTCCAGCAGGACTGTGCTAAATGAGAGAGGCCCTCTTGCAAATGGAGCTCTTTCCACAGCTTCCATATTCTTGTTGTGTTTTTTTCCAGGACTTCTTGCAAATTCTATAGAACTTGTAACAGAGAACCACAAACTATAACTGCTATATTATTTACTAAATTTAGAGTACAGTAGAAAATTGAAAGCATGTCTACAGTTACACTGCACTGTTATTTTGTAGACAGCCATCTTCCAAAACAGAGAGAGCTGGACCAGATTGCTGCTCTAACTAGCACTTGTTGAAATCGGGCTGGAAATCTGGGAATTATCACCTGGGCACACTTCTAGTGTAATGAAGGTAAAGAAGAGAGGATAATGCTGGTGGTCCAAGGACTTTCCTCTCAAAGTGACAAATTGTGCCCATTTTGGTGTTTGAAGGAGGGAAAGGTGGATGCTCTCTCACTGGTGCCACTTAAAGATGGCATCTTTAAAACGTCTTGGCAAAACCAATTCTGTTCCCATCCACTGAACTGACTTTGCTGATTTTCTATGGGGAAATCTTTAGAAAGTCTATTTGTTCAGAATGCGGAATGAATGTTGGATTTTGCAGAAGCCTTGCATAGTCCTGTCTTTTTACTCTTGTTTTCTTTGCACTGAGTACTGGAGGCAGTAACACTCCATGATTGTATTAAAGTGCTGCAATATCTAAGAGCTGAAGGCCCAAGTTAGTGTGGTTTGATGTTAAGATATGATGATTGAGGCTCCCTCTAGCGACTACTACCTTTTATTTGTTGTTTCAGAGAACAGTTGATCCACACTCCACCTTTCTAAAAGTCATCGCACAATGATGGTTTTGTGTTATTTCCCGGAGCTCTGAATTACACCAGGTCTTCAAGGCCTGGATACCCAGGAGCACTTGCAGAGCCTTACCTGTCGTCCTGGACCAAGTAGTACAGATTTGCATCATCCAGACTCTCTTTATGATCAATGGTGAAAGCCACAGTGAGGGCAGTCCAACTGTCCTATACTGCTATTCTAGGATGAGATGAAACATCCTTTGAAGATTCCAGTCTATCTTTAGTGTCTGTACTGAGAGAATTTTTATGGCTCTGTATTCAAGCTAGATTGAAATTGGTTAGTGATACAAAACTATACTGTTAATCAAACAGATCAAACAAATGAATACAGCATACAAAAGCATTTATGAAAGCTGTTTTTATGACAACATTTTCAATATGTTCTGAAAGGTGAGTTTGTATTTTTTAATTTTAAGAAAAACAGTCCGATATGAATATTACTGGTAGAAGAATGCAGGTGCCTTTGAATTCTAAGACCTGTATACTTCTTATTCTCTTGGGATTGAAGCTGTTAAAAGTGAAGTATTTAGTTAGATTTTAATATGGAATGGAAAAAAGCATAACCTAAAATGCCAGAAGAGTAGGAAGTTAACATTTGGAGGAAGATAGATTCTGTATTGCATTCTTGGTGTGTGTTTCTCAAGAAAGGCATAGAAAGGCAGTGCATAGAAAGGCATACATACATGCTGTGGGAGATCATGGGAGTCCCAGAGAGCCCTGACTGAGTACTTTGAGAAACCTCGGGGTTTCTCTGAGAAACTGTTTTTTTCTGCAGCTCTGGTGAGGCCTCACCCTGAATCCTGTGTTCAGTTTTGGGCCCCTCATGACAAGAAAGACACTGAGGTGTTCAAGCGTCTCCAGAGATGGGCAACAAAGCTGGTGCGGACTGGAGTACAAGTCTTATGAGGAGCTGCTGAGGGAGCTGGGGTTGTTTAGCCTGGAGAAGGGGAGGCTCAGGGGAGACCTTATCACTCTCTACAACTACATTACGGGAGGCTGTAGCAAGGTGGAGGTTGGTCTCTTCCACCAAGAATCAAGTGATATGATGAGAGGAAATGGTTTCAAGTTGTGCCAGGAGAAGTTTAGATTAGATATTAGGAAAAATTCTTCTCTGAAAGGTTTGCTAAGCATTGGGCAGGTAGCCCATCCAGAGGGCTCCTAACTGCCTGTGCAAAGGCATTACTCTGAGCCTGCTCCCAAGGAAGCTTTTGCTGCTGGGTGAGTGAGTAGTTAAAGTTAGATCCAAGTCTGTGGGTTGAATAAATCCATGACAGCTCAGCTGAGTGGAATGCAGCTGAAGTCTTAACTTGTCAGGTGAAAGGATTTTGTAACAGGATTGAGTGAGAAGGTGCTTCCTTCTATAGCAGGTGCAAGTAGACAGGCACAGAGGCAGAACTCAACACTGCCACTGCTGAGGATACCTGCAAGCTGTACTTGAAACCTAAACTTTCTTGGTAAGCAGAAGAAAAGTCCCTGTCTGTCTGGAAAGTCAAGATAAAGCAATACTATAACTATTCATGCATGTCTGACATGACAGGGCTTTGTGATTGTGTCCAGAAGTAGAAAAAATAAATTAATAAAATTAAATAAAAACAAAAATGGAGAAAGAAAAAGAGAGAAGCTATTGCACCTGTGGAGGTGGTCCAGTATTTAAAAATAATTGAGATACTCAAATAAATTAATTTTCATATGTAAATTACTGTACAAGTAGAGTGCTCACATGATTTACAAACCAGCCTGGGTAACACCAGCTGGTACAGCCTGTCCCTGTAGGAGAGGTGCTCCATCCCTCTCATCATCTTGGAAGCCCTCCTCTGGACTTGCTACAACAGGTCAATGTCCTTCCTCTGCTGGGGACTCCAGAGCTGGATGCAGTACTCCAGGTGGGGTCTCACCAGAGCAGAGTAGAGGGCAGAATCACCCCCTGGACCTGCTGGTGATGCCGCTTTTGATGCAGCCCAGGACTTGATTGGTTTTCTGGGCTGTGAGTGCACATTGCCAGCTTATATCCAGCCTCTAATCCACCAGCACCCTCAAGTCCTTTTAGGCCAGGCTGCTCTAGATCTGTTCATCCCCCTAATGCCAAGTTACAAAGCATGCCATAAAAGAGTATTCTCTTTCATTTGTTTTTATATGCCGTTATCTGCTTATTCTAAATTTGGATAGTTACATTGTACGATGAGCTAACGTGAGGGTCTTATAGTCACAGAGAAAAAAAAAAGTATTTTTCAGTATGATTCACCTCACCCACGAATCATTTGCATTAGTAAGAGTAAAACTGACAAAGAAATGCCTGTTTCTCCCCATAGTACTAGACCTCAAAACCAGGAGGCATCCTCATCGCAGATGCAGATGTCTTCATTAAATCAGACGAATCTTGTCCTGATTGAAGAAAGCCAGTGTGATCTCCAACATTCATAAACAGCAGGGTAAGAAAATGGAACAAAAAGGCAGCGTTTAGCCACAATGGTGCCTAATGTTGCCATTCGGCTTGGCTCTTCAACACCTTCATAAATGACTTGGATGCAGGACTACAAAGGATACCATGCAAGTTTGCAGATGACACAAAACTCGAAGGAGTGTTCACTCAAAGGCAGGGAGGCCCTGCAGAGACACCTTGGCAAATTACAGGACTGGGCAATCACCAAGCATATGAAGTTCAACAAGGGAAAGTTCTGGATTCTGCACCTGGGATGGGGCAACCCCAGATGTTCCTACAGACTGGGGAATTGGCTGCTCACAGTTTGCAGAACAATCCATGCATGCTAGGAATATATGGATGAATAAATTATAAATCAGAATTTCTCATACCAGGGTGAGTTACATATATGTTGAAAGTGTGTAGACTCAGGTATGTAAACAGAGAGAAATGCGAGTTAATAACAAGATGGGCCTGATCCATACTACAATAGTCACCAAAGTTCTTCAAATGTTAAAACCCATAGTTTTTCTGCAATTGAGTTTAGGATGTAAAACCCAGTTCTGTGCTATTCAAAATTACTAGTTCTGTTCAGGTTTGTGTCCACTGTGCTCACTTTCAAATTCTTCCTCTCAACTAAATACTGCATGTTGAGAAATAAACCAGAAATATTTCTCTTTCCTTTGGCAAACCAAAGGAAGTTCAAGGAAGCAGTTTTGTTGTGATCTTTTTGGGGTGGGGGTTTTTTGTTTGTTTTGTTGTTGTTGTTTGGGTGTTTTTTTCCCTCAAAAGCAAATGGAATACATTAGAGACAGCTTTGGCTGTCTGTTAATTAGAGGGCTGGC